TTAGCCAATGGTTCAAAAGTATTTAGTTTAGAATTCATAGGGTTTCGTTTTCTTTCTAATATTAATCTTATGTAATTGTATTAACTATATTTACAGACCGAGATCGACTTTATATTAAGCTTAAAGCTCTTTATTTAAAACAGGCAGCTAAACCAGGCATCAAATGCATGAAATCGTTGAAAATGGTTGTTGTTGTTTTTCTGATGACTCTAGTTAGTTGTAATCGCCGTCAAAGTGGTAGTTTTTTTTTGTAGTTGTTGTGTATGCGTATTCAACAGCCTTGGGCTATAATTGCGCGATTAAGCGGAAGAATTTCATTCTGGGCGCCCTACGCCAAGTCATGTACAGAAATATGCACAGCCATGCAATAATTTCCATGTTACAGTGAGTCGAAATTGCACTCAATTGGAGTATAAATCTTACATAATATCTTATATAATGAAAAAGAGTTAAATTAATACGAAATTGTCGAGTTCTACTACTGCTACTTATTGTTGAGCAGAAAAGTTGAAAGGGAATATCAATATTCTGTTCGAATATTTATTTTAAATTAAATATAAATATAATAACTGAATGCTAATACAGGTAGCGAATAACAATATCATTGTTCGGAATTCTAAATATTTATAAAATGTAATTTCGTATAATTTTGGAATTATTTTAAAGAATTTAATAAAGTTTGCAAATTTCTTCAAAGTTGAGTAAGATATATTTAAAGCTTGTATCTGAACTATAAATTGTAATTTTTGATAATATAGGAACGATTTTTGGTGTGTAGATTTGTAACACCCAGAAGAAAGAATACATATAATAATATATAGGAACGAGACGCATCCTATTGCGATCTCCCATATATTCAAAAAAGTCATAAGAATCGCTGAACCCTTTCTTACTATCTTTTATAGAAATAAGTGTAAAGTGTTATTAATATCTAATCACCATATCGTATAGTAAAAAATCCTTTTTGCAAACTAAAAAAAATTTAAAAATATATTTTTTTAATGAATGAGAAGGTAGAGAAAATGTAGCGCTCGAAAATTTTCATTGCAAACTTATAGAAAAGCACTCACTGTATCGTGTGGGGCAAATGGGGGATTGTGAAAGTTAAGTGCCGCTTTGAATATAAACATATATATGTATGTATTTACATGTGCACAAACACATAGACTGCATATGTATGTACTATATATGTATGTGAATGCACTCCTATAAAAAATATGGCACTTGCTTGCTCGTTGCTCGGCAGCTATTGTCAGCTGACAATGCCGCTGGCAGACGTGTTGATAGTTGCAAAAGTCCTTGCCAGTGATGGTCTGGCTGCCTGGATTGCTATTGCTATTATTGTTGTTGTTGTTGTTGTTATTGTTGCTGTTGCTGTTACGATGGCGGCTTTTGCCAGCTGAATGCAAATATTAATAGCGCAAATTTTCTGTTGCATAACAACAACAACAACTGCAAAAACAACAACAATTTGTAACATGGGTGTGTGTGTGTGTGTGTGTGTGTGTGTGCATGTCTGGGCCATTTGTGGTTTGCAATCCCCCCCTCCCTGGACTAGCTAGTGAAATTTAAATGCATAGACGCATAAATTGTTACATTTTTGCATACAAATTAAATTTATTTGCTATTGTTTACACTTATCGACCAGCATGTGCGTATTTTTAATTTTTGTCTGCAACATGCATACAAGTATTGCCTCCGATTTGTTTTTGTTAATTTTTCTTTTGATCACACAAAGCGTATGTTCAGAATTATATATTTTTTATAGATCGGAAAGTGCTGGTGCTTTGCATTTTGCTGCAATATTTGCACGCCTCCATTGCATTATTTTAATTGATTCGCTGCGCTCTGACTGTAAATAGAAACATGTTGTTTTTTGTTTCAGCCACCCGGTTGTGGTTGTTTTCATTTCGCTTCAATGCAAACAATTAAAATACATATGAACATATGTAGTTCACAGTAAATTCTGACGAATTTGCATACAATGTGTGTCAATAAGGCAGTTGTCCGGCAGTTGCCAACTGCCCTTGGTCAGTCAATTATTCAGTGTGACAGAACGACAACATTTTTTTTTTTCCAATCGTGTAATTTAATGAGTAATAAAACGCATTTCAATGGTTAGACTTTTAATCTGGGGATACTTTGGCGGCTTGGAAGTAAGATAGCAATTGCTTTTGTTTTAAACAATGAATAAATTGAACAAAGGGAATATTTAAACAGAAAAGAAAGTTTCCTAATTAGTAGTAATGTATGGAAATAGCTGTAGCTAGTTATAGTTGGGAAAACTAAAAAAAAGAGGGCTAGCTGAGCAAATTCAAATCCAGCACAAGTATGAGCTTACGGAATCTTAGAACGTGACTAATATTCTTATATCTTATATTCTTATATGCGTGTAAAGCATAAAAGTCCTTTTTTTCTTGCTCTATTAGGCAATTTCGCCTTTTTGGGCTTAAAAAAAGCACAGATAGGCTCGGGAAAAGCTGTGCACTAAGTATAGAGACTTCAAGCTTTTAAATTTTCTGATTTTATTTATTTCATTTCTTTATTTCAAATATCTAACTTTAGATAGTCCCTTTATGTACAACTAAAAGATTTTACAATACCCTTTTACTGTTTTTGTTTTTTTCCAAGAAGTTATTTTTAATTCGTTCATATTAGTTATGTTTTAAGAATTTTTATAATGGGGATTATAACTCTAATAATAATAAGTATTTCATGGTTTCGTAAAAACTACAATAAAAATGAGAATTGAGAAAAATGCTAATAAATAATTATCTGTAACTTTTGCAACAAATCTAAAGGTTTGATAAGTTTAAATAAATCGTAAAAATTAACTGAATTATTTAAAAAATAAAATAAAATTGTTTGAAGCTTTTTATGAAATGAGTATAAAATAAAGTTTTTATTTGGATAATTAAGATTTAATGAATTATCATAACTTATATACATAGTGAACCATCAAGATAGAATCCCGTTTTGGCAAGTTTACGCCTTGGGAACCGCAAGAACAAAGCCAGCACAAATGTCAAAGGCAATTCACATGCACATACTATTATTACTATTATTATTATTATATAATCTTGCGCTACTCGTACTATACTACGAATATGAGGAAGCAGCTAGTAGCTGCTGGCTGTTGGAGTAATATCGGCCGCTCCAATCTCGTTTGGCAGTTGCACAAAAACCCATTACCGATAACGTCATGTTGTCTTTATTATTTTCATTAATTAAAGTTTACACCAAAGCTTGGGACTGCAGACGGATGAGGGGCGTCGGATTGTATGGGAGAAAATAAAAGCTAGAGCAGCAGGCCAGCTGTCCAAAGAGTAATAGAAATTCTTAATAACGCCACCAAATGGTGGCAGCTTAATAAAGTTTAATTACTTGCTGGCTAGTGTTTGTGAAATATGAGTAGAAAGTATAGAGCAGGCTTCTACGCTCTACGCAGTGCATGCAAATGGTAAGAAGAATGTTAACTGCATTTAAATTAAAATTACACTTGCATACCACTGTTCCGCAGTGGAATTCTGTGCATGCCGCATGTTGCATGTTGGTAATGCCTGGCCATGGCTTTAATTACAATTACTGGAGCCAACATGTTCGGGAGGTCAACTTTGTACAGCAATTATATATATTTCGGCTGTATGTGATAATTATGACACCTTAGCTGCTACACTAGTAACACCGAATCCTCGACCGACAAGCCGACAAACCGGACCCATGAAATTGGATGAGTTGTCATTTAACACAACGAGGAATGGACGGACTGCTTGAAATATTGCACAATCAGCGCATTAAATAATTAAGTGCTTAATTAAATGAGTTACAGGGCACGCAGGCAACGTTGCGGTTGTCGATTATATATATTCGTATGTGTATTCAAGTCTCGCATTTTACTCTAACGCTCGAGCCATATCCCTCTGCCTGTCTCTCCCGGTGTCCATTTGTCAGAACTACATATGGCTTGGACTAATTTTGTATTGTATTTCTTCTGCTAATGGCGCATACAAATGTAATACATACAGACGTGTGTGTGTGTATATGTGGCTTTGTGGCATGCACATCACGTCCCGGGTCGAATTTGTAATAGAAACTAAATAAGAGTCGAATAAATGAGCAGAATGACGACATTAGCAGCTTGGCTTATTGAATGTTTTATTTAACATTCATTGAATTTCCTTTAGATAAAATCAATGTCATTTAATATTAGTTAATGGCGTATGTAATAAATAATAAGCCATTTGTTAAAGTTAATTTGAATAGTATAGGTAAACAAATGGTGTTAAAGAGTTAGATTTCTTGACCAGAAGCACCATGAAATTACTTTGAATGTAACTTTTATAAACAAACGCTTAACTTAAAATATATAAAATACTTATTATATATTATTATAAAAAATTTAATATGTATTCATTCAAGCAGAGTAACTCAATTTAAAATTGTTAGAAATTTTGATTTAAAATTCAGAAATTAAAGCTCATAAAAGAGCAATATAGAAATTTTCAAAGTAAAGCTATGGTTTTTGCTTGCATTCAATAAAAAAATTAAGGATCTAAGAATAGAAACCTATTGCTATTTATGCAAATATATTGCTGTTTGTTTGTCCTTAATAAGCTCATAAACTATATAATTCGTTCAATTGCGATTTAAGAAATTTTCCATCTTGGAATTATGTATTCGAAAATCGACTCAAAGTTTGTTTCCACAAATGAAGAAAACACCTTTGCAGTCTTGAGATAGTTGTCAAATATTTTACAAATTTAAAAAAAAAATTTGTTATTTTATGGCAGAAGTTTTTGAGAAGCTAGTGGACTTTGCAATTATGTAGCGGGTGAGGCCCTTCTTTATATTCTTGGGTCTTTGGCGGACAGGGCAACGAAGTAATGATCATGATTATTTTAAATAACCATTATAGACAACTCGGATTGAACTGAAGAAACACCATTACAATGAATTGTGTTCTACACAACATGATATTCCATGGTAAAAAGAAATTTGACTTACGACTACGTGTTTTGCGGTTTTTTATTGTATGGGTAGAGTTATATTTGGAGCTATTTGTTTTTCTTTATCTTGACGATTTCTTCAATACCCAAACGACCAGGTTCGGTACTAAACACATTAACTGATGAACTTCTTTTTTTTTAGATAGGCGGGTGCGTACTATTTGCGACGCTTAGGGTAGATACGCGGGCGAACCCTTTTTCCATCTGGCTTCTTCTTGTTCTTTCGCAGTTGGCGATTCGAGCCTAATTTTCGGCGTATAACCTGACGCTTGCGTTGCATCTGGCGCCGACGATTAATCTGGGCTGGCCTTATGTCATCAGGGGCTAGATCGTAAAGCTTAAAGAGACGTCCGTGGATCTCGGTACAAACGCATTGGCTAGCTACGATGGTTTGATTAGATGGGTTATGAATTGACCTGAGCTTGTTGGTGATTCCAATGCCGCAATTCTGGCATAGCTGGCGAACAGGTTTCTGACGCAATCTTTTCGTTTTGTTCTTTATGTTGCGTTGATCGGCCTTCTTGAATTGTTGGCCGGCACGTATCGGACGTCGAACAGTGCGTCCACGTCCCAGAGTACATTTGGAGCAATGGGATTCGGTGCAGGGTACCCCTGTGCATCCATAGCGAGAATTGCGAAAAATAAGGCGAGCTTTCGTATGATTGTAGCTACGTGTATCGCAAACCTCGTCAATAACACTGGGATTTAATATGTTTGTGCGTTGTTCTTTTTTTCCGCGCTTCCTCTTTGGAGGTACTTGCGACTGTTCTTCTGGTTCCGGCTGCTGCTTATCCGGCTGTGTCTGATTTCTGAGGCGCTCACTTTGGCGAACGGTCGGAATGGGGTCTTCACTGGGTACAGATTTTTGTGATTTTTCTTGTTCTTGTTTAGAGCCTCCGGCACTGAAGTCATCGACGGTAGCGCACCCTTTGCATGGGTTTCGTAATTTTCGCGCTGACTGCGACTGTTGAATGCTTAATGTTGGCTTTTTCATGAGACGGTTACTTCTACGAACGACCGGCGGTACTGTGGAATTACCGGCGATTCCCACTATATGAGGAATAGCTTTGTTATTTCTGCTATCATTAGCCACCTGAACGGAGCACACGGAGATGTCATCTGCCTCTGATGCGGCGGCTGCATTTCTGCGAAGATCAGCTACCTGAAAGGGAATACGTGTAATAGCCTAGGACTGGTTACTTATAATATCTCTATTGCAGTATCTCTTACCCTTAAGAATTTACCCTTCATAAGTTGCTTAAAGAACTCGTCCATTTGTTATTCTTTAATTTTGTGTGGCGATTATTTTTAAAAAAAAGACAAAAAATGTGTTAAACCCTTCCTTAGCTCACAACTTTCCAAATTGTGGAAAATTTGTTGGGGAAAAAAATATATATTTTTACTCCGCGTAGTGTGTTTCAAGTGAGATTGAAAAATGTGAGCTGTATTGGATCTGAAAGGTTTTCCAATGAGCTCTATTTTCATGAAAATTTTTTAATTCTTAGCTTAGCAATCTGACAACGATATTTTAAAAACAATAATAAAATGTTCATTATGCATGTAAAGTATTAAAAAAAAGTTAACAACTGCGTATATTTTTTGTGTGGAACTCATGGATTCATGATGTTGGAGAAACCATAAAAGAAAGCGATGCAGAATGATTGAATTTCCAAATATATATATATTTTTTTATAGGAAAACAACATTTGTTAATTGAATGATATTCCTGCTGCCATCATTATTGCAATCAATTATTGTTGCTTGAAAAGTGTGCAAGGCATCAATGCATTTATTGTAAATAGCCTCCCAGTTGTTCTATTTAATTACATAAATGCATTTATGTTTGACTGTGAACGCAACGAAAACATAAACAGACACAGGCACAGACACACACTCCCGTATAAATAAAATAAACATTGCAGACGGACCTTTTTGTATTTGTGCAGCCACTCAGACGAAAATGAAAAAAAGGGAGAACAAACCAAAACACAAATATAAACAAGTAAAAGTATAAAAGTAAATACATACAGAATGTGAAAACAAATACATGTTGTGCGCACATTTTAGCATTTTGAAAGGTGTACACACACACACAAACACACTCACACTCGCACACACTCGCACACACACATATGCAAATGTTCAGCATGTGCAAACATAATCAGTCGCATTTTCATTTGGCTGCATCGGCATAAAAGCGTCGCAGACTTAATTAAAATTTCATTGTGCCGTGTGCCTTGTGCCTTTGAATTTTGTTCCTGTTGTTGTTGTTGTTGTTGTATTGCTGCCTCCTGCATTTGTGTACACAATTGCAATTGTCTTTTGTGCATGTGTCTGTGCCTTTGTTGTGAATGTGTTAATGCGTTTTGTGGCATTGTGAGCGACAACACATGCGGCGTATGTGTAATGTGGCTTGTACTTGGCAAACGCTCGAGACCTAGACAAATGAAACTTGTTGGCACTTGAATAGGCAGACAAAGTCTTTTACAGCATTTCAAAGAATTGCACTTTAAAAATAATTGTCCTTGCCCTTTGCACACCCTATAATAATTTAATGTGTAAGCGCAGAAAAATGTGGATAAACAAAAAAAAAAAATATGGCAAAAGCCCTGCGCCAGGGCCAGTAATTTACAAAATTGCCCAAATAATTGGCTTGGCTAGCGGCGCTTTGTGTATTTTGTTTTAAATTAAACGTCCCTGCTCCCACCTCTCCACCATCAACTGCAATTAAATGCACAGCGGTTTGCATTGGCAGCACTTTTGTGCGCGCTTTGCACAATTTTCAACTCGGCCGCGACAGCAGTTACTTACTTTCTCATACGCTGCAGTCAAAGAGTCCACATGTTTTAATAACCAACTTGTATATGACTTGATATTGATTGGTATAACAGAACTTGTGCGCCTAAAAGCTTTGCTGTCGGAATGTATAACAGTGCTATAGCTTCACTAAATTGTAGAGAGTATATAGAAATGATTATTTGATACTTAAAACAAATAGAACTGCTTCTATTGTGGCTTCTAAAACTACTAATACTGCAATTTTTATCCCTACTGTTTTAACTGTTTTTATTATTTTGTAAAATATACCACATTTAAAAGTAATAAAATTAGTTTAGAACAACTATAACCAATAATAATTCTTAAATTTCCACAGTCAATATACTACAAGGGCTACTGTTTCTACTATTATTAGTACTATTACTATGCTCCTACAACTACTACTATTTATATGTAACTAGTAATAATAATATTTCTGCGGCTAATATTGCTACTACTTATTCAGAAAAGCTTTTAGTTTGACTACTAGTAATACGACTATCAATGCTACTTGTAATTTTATTATCATCAAAAATGTTTGTATTCATTATTAACTAATTATTATGCTTTTATTGCTCTTACGACTGCTACTCATACTTCTTCTACTACTTATACTGTCACTACTAATACTAAATAAGCCACTTCTACTTATTAGAAGTTTGCGTTTGAAAGCTACATCCGTTGTATTCCCTTTTGCAGTGCGACTTTTATTACTATAGCTGGGATACTATCTAAAATGCAATAGTTAAACAGGGTATATCTCAGTTCGGTGCGCCCGACTACATTATCCAACCATATTTTTTTTAATGCAGGTTTTGCGGTTCACTTTTCGCTGTGTGCTCACTCGTTACTACAGTTTTTCCTGCACGGACATAATTTAGCCAATTAAGCGCATTTATGCACAAAATTAACAATGTTTGCATAGCATTTTAACGCTGCTTGTTTAAAGAAAACATTTTTTTTTTGTTGTTCATGCATGTGCACATGGTCGTAGATTGTTAGTCGTTCTCGTATATTACTGAAGTCACAAAATCAATAATTTCAACATATTAAATCAAACAAATATTGCCATTCGCGCCCATGTCTGCGTCAATTTCTATCGTCTGTTTTCATCATACGGCCGTAAATCATGTGGCATAATATAAACCACGCCCAGCCAACGCATGTTTATGCATAAACAATGTGCGCCATATACGAATGAGTATATAGTATATAGTCGTGTATGTACATATATACACATATATAGAGAAAATGTAGACATACGCATTTTAATGGCGAATATTTGTGTGCCTTTTATGGACATTAACGGTCCTTTTCGTAATCATTTATCATCGATGGCTCGCAATATGCTCTGAGTTCAAGTGGCTTCTGGGTCATGGTCAGCTAACATTAGCCGATAACTGTGCTTTATGATTTACTATCATCAAGTTTGATGAGTATGCGTATATAGTTAGTACGTGTCTCGCCGGCATGGCAATTAAACAGAACCACTTGAGGACTTTATGTTATAACAATTATGACGTTATACGAATTCCATTTCATACTTATTAAAGGCACTTTTTTACTAAATCATATTGTTTATACTTATATATATATTTATATCATAAATAGGTCAATCTTTCAAATAACCAACAGACCAAAAAAAGTCAATTTTCACAAACAAAATAAATATGAGTGCAAAAAAATGTAACCTATTGATTAAATTATAATATGCAGTTGTTTTTCAGAAAGTTTTAGCGAAATTAAATTAAATAATTAATCCAAAAATTCAGAAACATATATTGACAGTACTAAATGGTACTAAATGATCAGAAGGGTGTACAAAATCAAAAGTTTAGTCCAAAAATATGCCTTAGTATATGTATTGGGCAGTATATCTAGTTAAAAGAGCTTTATGGAATATAGGTTTTGAGAGTTCTGAGTAGAAATATGAATTTATTATTATCAATATTCTAAAAAATTGGGAAAGCCACATATTAGACAACGGAGAAGAGATTTGTCGAAAAAGAAGAGATTGAAACTTTGGTATAGGTTATTGAAAGGAGATCATACATACTACATATCTACTTACAAATAGAAATAAATGAATACTTGTAGTGGCCAAAAAGATAATTGAACTATTCTGTTTCAGTACATTTACAAAATTTCCTTTTCCGCTTTTTTGATTGTCTATTAGGTAGTTATTCAGATTTAATATTTAATATTAAATAAGATTTCAGTGGCATTGTTTGCGCCTAGCAATTGGAATTTCCACTTACATATGTGCGATGTCTGTAATTACGCAAGCTCATTATTTACCCGCGAAGCTGTTTAGTTTTAGTTTCAGAAATGATTGCATACGGTTTCATGGACGTTCCTACCCGTATACGTAATCATGTAAAGCGTTGTTGGGGAAGACGCTACTGACGATGGGTGCCCCCATCCATCCTCTACACCCTCAGACGCCATCACCTTATACACAAATCAGCATCAAATTGGCAACAGACACGCATATTTGCAATCAACTTCAAACTAGCGCGCGTCTGTTTACAAATTAAGAGCGCTTGGTGTCTACATATGTGAGTGTGTATGTGTGTGTGTGTGTGTGAATGAGTGGGTGTTTGTGCATGCACATGCAAATGAATAGACATTGGTATGGAGAAGGAGTGGCGTGTGTTAGTCTTACCGCCCGCTCTGGTTCGCACAATGTGTACAATTTTCCCGTTTAACTTCATCAGTGTTGCTGGCTAATTGTGCCCTCGATGTTGGTCTATTCCCCGTTACTACTGCTGTCGCGGTTTCGGGAACCCAATGCCGAAATGCATGCTGTTGAATGAATATGTTTTCAAATTCACACTCATCTGCGTGTCAATTTAACGGCTGCAATAGTTCCATATTTGTGGCAAAATTTGATATGTCAATCAATCTCTTGCAGCTTTGCAGGCGCTTTTGGTTTCCAGCTGACGGACATTTTGCTCTTTCGCAAAGCGATTTCATAAATGGATTGATTGTGAGCACGTGAATTTCTTTAAAAATATTTATATACACATATTTGTGGTGGTTTTGTGTAGTTGTCTTTATAATTGAGCAAAAAAGGAGAAAAATAATAATACACATTGGTTACACATACACATATTTGTAGAACATACTTGTATAAAAGACTATCAAAATAAAGATTTTTACAAGGTTTATTTTTCTCCTTTTTTTCCAAAAGTTCTGTGCGGTCCTCCAGTTTTACTGTACAAAAGAAAGGGCCACCTTCAAAGGCTCATTACATTACAATAGCAATAGAAGTACATATATGTAATTTTACAAATATTAAATATATATATATAATATACATACTTGTATATTTATCCTACCTTGTGCCTTTGTTTTTGTGAGCAGAAAAAAAATGGTGTTTTAAAATTCATAGAAGATTTGTTTATTAAAATATTTGTATTGTCTGTTGAAGGTGAAAATAAAAGCCTTCTTCTAAATTCAAATATTATTTATTATATATATATTTTTAATATTCGTCAAAGTAATAGTTCGAAAAATGAATTTTTTTTATTAAAACATGCAACTAATTTCTATCGCTTTTTTTAATCTCTGTAATAT